AAAGTCAACAAAAGGTCGAAATGGTTTGGAGTGCTAGAATTGTGCTTGTGTTGAGGTTCCACCGCACCCTAGCAACCCCAGAGCCTTTGCGTGACTTGTTTCAGTCCACCATTTCGACCAATAATCGAACACGAACTAAGGTGCTTGCAGCATAAACTGGCATCAAAAATTCAATAAATACAAAATGTTTTGTGTCTTATACAAAATTGTACATTTCAATATTTGCAAAAATAGTTTTTCATTTAATTATTTACAAAAGGCAACGATTTCAACAACCCTCTGACCTTCTCTTCCAGCAGTCCAACCATCAAACTTGAGGGGAAAGGCTCCCTTTCCCCCCAAAATTCTCACTTCCTTTTTCAAAACTCCATAATTGTAGAGTGCACCTGTGGACAAAAATTAGAAACGTCAGTGATAGCTAACAGCCTGCAGTCACACTTTGATTACATGCAAACCTCTTTCTGCAGATAGCGGCATGCAAACCTGTGAGTGCAAAGGTCAGAACAAGTGTGACCTAATTACAGACTTAAGTCGCTTAGTTCAGCTGATTTAGCAGGTTCGATGGCCAGCTAATTGTCTGACATTACTCGGGAGGTTTAATGATGACTACACATCAGGATTATGTAACAGGCTAAGTTAGCCGAATAGCTTCTGAGTTACCCGGGTTGGTTGCGCCCTGCTTTATAAGAGAACTTACATGTTCATGAACCAATTTCTTTTATGGGAAAAGACAAAGTGATTTTTGTATTTCCTTTATTGTTTATGTAACTTGCTGCAGTAGCAAGCTATAGACAAGCTAGCGTTAGCTACTCCACCTAGTATTAGTTCACACTGCCCAAGTACAATAACGTTGCACATAAACCACATTATAATTTGCTATATAATCTAAAACGTGGAGACGTATTACACATCTGATGTATGTACAAGCACTAATAAATGTCATTTCTACAGTTTATGCAGTGTGGTAACAACGTTTGGCAGCTAACGCTACTTTGACAGCTAGCTTAGCTGACACATCATCTTATGCTAACGTTAGCCAGCTGAGGAAATTTAACGACGAGGCTCTTCTTACCTTCCGCTAGATAAAGAAAAAAGTGGACATGGAGAAGGTTGCTTCAACGACGTATATCCACTGTGTCATTACTACAAACAAGAAACGCAAACAGTATATTTATTGGTGTCAATCTTTGACAGAACTGAACCCCTGAAACCCTGCAGGTTAGGTAAAAACCCTCGTTAATGTCGAGACTTGTGATTGGTCGGCGCGCGAACATCCCATCATCCTATTGGTTGATTTTTGGGGATGTTGGCTGAGTTCAGCGAGCGCAGTTGCTGAATGCATGATGTCATAGGAAATGGTTATACTGTTATTTTATTTTAGGGTTGAAATTATAGACATACATTATTATTTTATGAAACAAAAACGTTGTTTTATTTTTTTTTTTACGTCGAGAGAATTAAAATGCGATGTTGTAAATTATAAAACAATAATTAAGGATTAATTTACAACTACTGCATGACAGTAATCTAAAGAATCATTTTATTTCTCAATAGAGAACAGGTGTAACGTTCTTCACTCTTAAAAATGTATTTATTGAGAGCAGCAGAAGCAGAGAAAGGTGTTTTTTGTTGTTGTTGTTGTTGTTTGTTTGTTTTAATCTTTTCTGAACAAGTACAAGCAAGACAGCGTTACAGTTTGGTCCTTCAATATAGAATAAAAATAATGTGATCTTTTACCCAGAGGTTGTCAGCATGGGGCTTAGCTCAGGCTAGAAGTCTTTAGCTTTTAACTTGATAATGCCACCATATTCACGTTTTTTCAGAGCAAAATGAATATGCTCGCTGGAAAGTTGGATGATCCTACTTTCTTCAACCCATGTTCCACATCATTGTTATTATAGTGAGTGCAAGTTGGCGGGACCAGTAATTCCCAAACTGCGTTCCTTGAAATGT